TTTATTGAAAACATTTGTTTTAATATTGGATTCGAACGGTAAAAGGGTTTGTAATACATACCAGCTGACAAATGGATTTCGTGTACAAGTAAAGGTAAGACCATAAACTTTTATTATTTCTAGTTAGAAATAAGCTCAATTGGAATAAATTTTAACCTCAAATTAAATGTGGGTCACGTTTGTGTGAAGAATGCTGATATGAGATATAAAACACAACGCATTGTCTGTTAACAGACAATTTGTATTTGTGAATCTGACTGTAAAAGAGTTAGTGCCTCACCAGCTGTCAACCTCACCGCACGTCACTGCATCTGAGAAGTTAAGTCCAATGTATTTTGGCCATTTTTGCTCGATAAATAAATTTGAGACTACTGCCACTTGGGTAAATGAGTCATTGACTAATTGTTCCGCCACTAGCTGGTGCCCCAATATACAATATATTCTGTATTAGCACTGCAAACAGTTTTTGTGCAGAAGAACCAATATCGCTATTTTTTTGTATATATGAGGGATGGTGCCAAAGCAGCATGGAGTAAAAAGAGAAATACAATCATGTGAACCACAGATATGTAATTCAGAGCCTGCTCATTTATCCACGAGACAGTGTTTACACCAGATAAATGGACCATTGTGTTTATATCTGTCTGTGTGTGGTGGTCTTAGACCGGCTGGATGATGTGGAACTGGCTGGTGTCTGCACTGGCAGTGGGAGCCTCAGTGGTTTTATATGATGGTTCACCCCTTATGCCCACACCCAATGTACTGTGGAACCTGGCAGACCAGCTGGGGTGAGTTAGTCACACAAACACACAAAAGGGAGAGACTGATAAAAGGGACTGACAGTGACTGGAATGTTTATGTTTCTGAGGTTTTGTATTTGATTTTTGTTTGTCACCATTTATTTAAAGTACGGTGCAAAAGTCTTAAGCCACCATTAGATTTGAGGAGTGTTATGACTTCTCTTTATATATTTATTTATCATAATACAACTAGAAAATGTAGGACATATATACTTTTGCACTGTAATGCAAATATTTAGGTGATTGTCTTTACAACATCCGAAGATGAATAAAATGATTTTTCTTTATTATCGCTGGATAGAGTGCAGTGCAGCCTTGGGACATGCTGCTTTTTCAGTAAGGGGTGCAGCTCACATAAGACTGTAAGTAAGAGAAAGTGCAAATCTTTCCTTTTGATATGCAGCGTTTTGGAAACAGAGAGAAAACAGGCAATGAAAGATAAAGGTTGCTGCATACAGACAGTGTCAGAAAGAGAGCACGAGCAAAGGAGAAACTTTTCTTGGGAGATTCTGCTTTTACCAGAAATGGTCATGGGTTTATAAAACTGAAGCTTTCACACATAAGGAATTCTGCTGGTAATACTGAAAGCTGAGACACTCTTCAGCTAATCAAAAAATAACCATTTACTAATAATTTGTCACCACTATTATAAAAATAGGACGAGAGAAGGGAAGATCGGTTGAAAAAGATGGACTGGTTTGAAAAAGTTAAAAAGACAAATACAGAAGAATCAGGGGCCATGGGAGCATAGAGTGGGGAAAGGAGATCATTTTGCTTCATTTTATGTGTCATAGTTTATTAAATCTCATTTGGTGTATAGCTGGGAAAAACTTATTTGAAAATTTGAATGGGCTTTGTTGAAACTGCCAAAACTTATGTCAAGCCTCCAGGCAGCAGCTGCAGTACAAGAGTTTCACTGTACACTGTATGTGATGAATGTATGGAGATTTGGAGCGCGCGCACACACACACACACACACACACACACACACACACACACACGTAATCGTTGATGAAGTTTTACCTAACTTTAAAAGAAATCAGTGGCAGAATTCAAATGTACAAAAACCACCCCAGACTTGCTTATTGATTACCACAAATGAGTACAGTTGTGGTGCAGTGGTGCAGCAATGTGTTCTACTCAGCTGAGCAAACTCCTTAAAGTCTGTTGTTATTGAGACTGATGGTCAGTCTGGATGGACCTAAAAGCCCAGGTGAAACTACAAGACAGTCAAGGCAGCTGAAACCTAAAGTTTGCCATCTACAGTAATCAGGAAGTTGCTTACTCCAGAACAATGTGGCCGTTCGCCTACAGCAGTTCACTTTAAATCCAGATACAAAATAGTTGCCCTTATTGTTTGAGCTTGATAAATATCAACAGAAGGTTTGAAAGAGAGTTTGGTGCCACGATACCACAATTAGATACTGTATAAACTCACTATACAGCACTGTGTGTACCCTGTAACACCCTTCCTTTTCATCCTCCTAAAACATTTTCACACATTGTAGGTCCACAGAGGATATTTATAGCAGATCCTCTATCTTGGTAAGTGTCCTGATATCCTCTCTTACCTCCATCACTTGCACTACCATAACACTAGAGCTAAAAACCCAGTATTGATCCTCTATTGTCTTTTGAAGACAGCAGAACAAAGACAAAACAGTCAAGGATACAAGTGTGTGTGTGTGTGTAGGCAGGCGATTAATTGGTGCAAATTTAATTGGAAAGATGGTGAGCACATTTTTCTTATTGTCGTACTTGTGTTTAAATTTCTCAAAGGGTATGCAGGTTGCGTGTGCTTACCCCCAATACACCCCCAGTGTCTCCAATTAAATTTTCAGTTTTGCGGGGGCGAAGGCTGAGATAGGCCGTAAAATGTAGTACTGTAGATAATTGCCTCCAAAATATGATATGTCAGTTGCACCATTACTTTTACTTTTCCCTTATAATTTGTACCAAATTGCATAGGCCGTTCGGGGAAATATCCTAAGAATTTACTGCTAAATATCAACTAATTTTTAGGAAATTCAGAAGAAACTGTAAAACTGACTGTAAAATGCTAGGCTCATAAAATAAAGCATTATCATTATTTATTGTTTTTTTTTTTTTTTTTTAATTTATGTGTGTGTACTTCCAACATATTTGGTGTACATTCAAATCAGAGCGTCTTCCGTGTCTGTGTTCTAAAAAAGCATTATTATTTTTTTTTTTTTTTTTTTTTTTTTTTTTTTTAAGAGAGGGGCTTGTAGTGTAAGATGTATCTTCCCCCCGCTACTTATGTGTACTGTAGGTTAGATGTATATTTTTGTAACATTTTGTTTCAAAATCATACATTGAAATGGAATAAACGAATTAACAAATGTATTCTGAGGCCATTTCCGATGCAGGGATTAATTTAAAACATAATAAAAGGCAAAAGCATATCATATTTGGGAGGCAGTTATCTACTCCTGACTTAGCCTAGTAACGTGCCCTGAGAACTAACATTTTAATTGGAGATGCTGGGACTGTACTGGGGCTAAGCACACACAACTTGAATACCCTCTAAGAAATTTAAACATAAGCACACAATGGGGAAAAAAAGTGCTCCCTATCGTTTCAGTTAAATTTGTACTGATTACTTGCCTGCCTGCACAGACTCGCACATGTCTTTGACTGTTTTCTCTTTTTGGTTGCTGTCTTCAAAAGACAATAGAGAATCAATACTAGTTTTAGCATCTACTGTTTAAGGTGGTGATGGTATCAGGACATTACCAAGATAGAAGAGCTGCTATAAATCTTCCCTGTGGACCCAGTGGACCTAATTTCATGAGGGATGGAGAGTGAAAGGTTTACAGGGTAAGTGATGCTAGAAGCTTTGGTCAGTATTGACAGAATAAAAAAAAAATTTTGTTTACATGCTATATAATTTCCAAACATATTAACCACTTAAACATAATGCACAGGTACTTGAGTAAATATAGCAACTAGCTCTCCATTTCCCTTATAATTAGTGACCAGTTACTTAGGCCTGTCTTGAAAATATTCTAGGAACTACAGCAAAAATACCAGATACATTTTAGATTATTAAAAGGAAAGTTCTCAGGAAATTAGTTGGAATATAGGACCCATAAAATAAAGCTTTACCAAGATAAGGTCTAGAAATTATTTATCAACCTATCAAAATTCTAAGGACACAGTGAAAACCCACTCATGTAATACTGATACTAATGAACAGGGTTTCAGAACATATGAATGAACAGATAAGGTGAAGAATGTAAATTTCAAGTGCCACATAATGTAATGTGCACTTGGCTTTGTTCAAAACAGCAATCATTTTGGAAACTTTTGTATTTATATAACCTTCAAGAGATGATCAGTAACATTAATGGTCCAATATTATACTGCAAAGTTACATAGTATGAACTCCATCTACAGGCAGTGTGTCTTAGTGATCAGATATTTGATTACCAAAATTAAAACCAAAAAACTTTAGCTCTGCAGTTTAGCTGTTGGTTTTACAGTGTCAGTGGTTATTTGAAAAACACTTTAACAAATGAAACTTATCTCATTTACAAACAAATTTGATATCACACATACCATTTAATAAAGAGGGGGATGGAAATCTTCAAGGAACTCTCACCCTTTAACCCCTTCTAAACATACAATACAAGTTAGAGAGTTTGTCAGACTGACTGCAAGTTCTGACTGTAAGTTATATTTATAAAATTGTGGTCAGCAAAAGTAAGACCTTTTAATGTAGTGATGTCACAGACAAATCTTCAGTGCAGCAGATATGGGATTGTGCCTTGAGCAAAGAATGGAAATAATAGGAAGCAAAAATTGACACAAATGGAAACTAAACTGGAAAGTGGAAGCAAAAGTGCCAAGAAAAAGTACATCTACTGCAGAAACCCAGAACGGGATCTGTTTGTAGAGCTCTTTTCACAATTTAATAGTCATTTAAATATGAAAATCTTCAAGTGATTTGTTCACTGTGACTGGTAACAGTATTGTTTGGTTTGTATTTACTTTTTGATGAGTTAAATGCTCTCTTCTTTCAGCCACACTGTTGGTTTAACTGAGAAGTTAGCGAACACGGTTAGAATACTGTGGATGAAATTACCCACACAGACAGATTCTATGTACTGTAGGGCTTCCTGTGTGGCAGGAAGAGGGACAGAACCTTTTTAAACTGGGAAGATTTTTGAACCAATTAAGTGCTGAAGTTGCCACCTCAGACACATTCTCCAGGCCCCAGTACTATGTACGATGAAAAGTTTTTTATGCCCTCCTTTTCTGAATTGATGTTGGATATTTTAAATGGGGTCAAATGTGTCAGAGCATCGGAGTGGCTTAAACTTTTATCGAGGCCCTACGTTGCCTTGAATTTTGCTAGTTGTGGAATTACTACCTTGCTGTTGAATTCCGCTGTCACATTGTGCAGACAAATTGACATTTACAATTTAAAATCTCATTTATTTTTGTTGAAAGATGACATTTTCAGTTATGGAAAAGGGGCTGGTAATTTTGCACAAAAATCTTTTTTTCTGAAATGGATTGTTGCAGATTTGCTAGTTTGAGGAAAAGGAAAAGGAAAAAGCTGAGGGCAGGCTGAAGAATGTAGCGAGTCTCAGAAGACTTGTTTATTTTTTTGTTGTCCAGTAGTTTTCTGTGCTTCAGAAAATACTGAGAATCTGCTTGACTAATTAATGTGAAATTCTTCATGTACACCTGAAACTTTTACAGAACTTGTATCTGGTACAGAATGGTGCACTGCCACTAATGCTGGGTCTTTGAATGGGGTTTGTTTGTGGACCCACTGCTGAAGCTGACCATTGAGACATCAGTGCTGGTCTGAAACCTTTTTCAGAAGTTCATTGTTTTATTTACACAAACACATTTGAGTAAAAGGTACCTTTGTCTTTAATTGATTAAAACAGAGCCAAAACCCTCCAAATCAGTTACAAAATAGATTACAGTAAGGTGTTAATGGTTTATAAGTAAGATTGAGGTTAATGCCACTAAATATTCTATAGATCTTATGTTGCCTCTACATACACTGCAACCTTGAAATGCTCTGCTTGTGCCCTCTAGGAAAAGGGGATTTACTGAGACCCAGAGCTGTGCTGGAAACAAAAGTGACAGTATTCCTGAGTGAAGCAAACACAAGGTTATAACATTTGTACTTGTGACAGGATCTTGTATGTATAGGACTTTGGAGGCTCCAGTGTTTTCTCTGAGGATCTTATGTGTTGAGGTGATATGTCCAAAAAACGTCCTTCTCTATTCTTGCACAAACTACTGTATGGTAATCTTGTGTTGTGCTAATGCCAAGCAAAATTCTCAGTTATCGTCTTTGGAGGAGATATCTACAGATACGTGTAGCAGACCGCGTCTTGCCAGCTCAGTTACAGTTTTAGAAACGTGGGCATAACAATTTAAAATATCCTCAGCTTCATGCTGCGCCTAAATGTTGTACACTGCAGACACAAGTCTTCATCAAATCCTTTACCAAGATTATTTGTTCACAAACAAAACAACACCCATACTTGTTTCAAGTGCTAAATGCTGCATATAAATTTAATTAGAGGAAAAAAAGAACATTACCACATTATTTTGGAGACATATCAGCTTCTAGCAAAGGGTTACTTTGTGGTACAATATTTAGTATACAAACAGCTGATCCAAAGAATCAGAGCTGATAAACCAATCTTCACTAAAATGAGCCAGTGAGGGAAGTTTACAACTGCAGTACAATATGCCCATAACATCACTGACAGAAGGCAGCAGATGTTCATTGCTGTGCACTAGAGCACAAGCGAATTTCAAATGGGTGAAAGTAGATTTTCACCAAAAACTAAAGCCAGCAGCTACCTGGAAGGTAAGAACTCAGTTTAACAACTAATGAGTTGCTTTGGAAGGTGATGACTAGTAAAGCATAAACAGCATTTAGTTAATAGATTAGTTATTTATCATGGAAAATCATAGGTTGTTTTTAAAAGTGATGTAGTGTGACAGTATATTTGCAGATCAGTGAGGAATTATACCATCAAGCGACAGTGATTTCAAACAGTTCTGAGTAGCTTCTGACACATGAGGAAAGGTTCGACTGCACAATGTATTATAATTCTTCTTTGGATAGAGGGTGAGTGTGAGAGTAGTTTAGAAAACCTACACGAACAAGCGGTACTTTAGTTTCTACATCATGACATGTATGAAGACACATTCATGTAATAACTGCTAGGAGCTGCTCTTGTGCCTGATTGGCTTCGAGCGTCTCTTATTGACTTAGCTCCCAGCAACATACAGTATCTCCGTTGAAACAGACGCACAGGAACATTTACACATGCTGGCACACAGTTTCACAAACACAGACTCACAGCTTCTCCTCCACCCTCCATCCTAAACACCCAATTAGCAGCTACACCTGGCCACCTGCCTCCAATCAGAACAGAGTGACCGTTTCCATGGTAGCCAGCAACGAACAAATCCAGATGCGGATGGGGGGCCAGAGATGATGGATAGAGTGTGACTGTGTTTCTGTAGATGACAAATTGGGTCTTTGTGTCTGATCTTCTACATGTTATCTGCAGAATCAGGTGACTGTAAGTGACTATGGAGGACAGGTGTAGACCATATCCACCCACCTGGACAAAATATACGTGATCTATTTAAATACACCATTAGTGATTACATTCATGCGTATGCATTGTATCATTTAATTTCTCTTTTTTATAATTCATTCTTATAATGTTTTACTTGAGGGGAATAAAGAAACTGAATTGTAAATTCAAAACAAAATGGAAATAAATTAAGATTATAAATATTAGAAAAAGCTATTGATCTGAGGCTAAGAATTAAAATGCATAGAAGGATCTATGGTTAGACTTGCCCATAATTATGTCTGGTAGCACAACATTAACCACTGAATGTTTTACTTTAGGGGTGTACTAAATGACTAATTAATATGGGTCATCAGGTCAGTCATTGCCTGAACTTATGTTTTCATTTATTTCATTATTTTTACTTTTTATATTTGTCAGTAGTTATCCATCAACAGTTTCACAAGAGATTGAGATTTAGATTCACTATGAATCAGATAAGGTTGTGATTTTAAAATGACATGTTCCATGATATGAAGCTTCAGGATAAGGCACTTTAGCGAGTGGAATGAGGACAGAGGGTAAGGCATGCAGACGTGGCCTGGACAGGAGGTGCACACACTGTACAATATGTGTGCAAGCACATTAAGGCGCGTGCACGTAACAGTCGCTTGATTCCATCGGAGATATTCTTACGACCTTTGCCCTTTCACCCAGTTTAATCTCCCATTCCTTCACTGATGCTATCAACAGTCTCCATTACCACTAATCAATTTGACCCCTGAGAGCAAATCACATCTTTCATCACAAACCAATTCCTTGGTTTTGACCAATCGAGCATCAGACAGTTTTGTATCACAGAGGCAGATTCATTATATATTTTTGATTGACAGACGTTGCCATAGTGACGGGAGGCGATTTGATTGATTTGATGTCAACAAAAATAACTTGAAAAGATGAGAAGGCACAGGCTGAGGCACAAACACACCCGTTCAGAGAAGCACACTCTAAAAGGCCCTTTGTTTTAAAATTAAAACTGCAGGGGAACACACAACTGACGTTTTGTCACGTCTTTTCTTCCACACGTTGTCCAACTGTTGTCAGCTGTCAGGGTGACTTCCATTCACACAGAATAAAACCACCTTCCAAAATCATTTCAGTTAAAGGTCCATGTGTGCACATATCCTGCCAATACATTCTCCTTTGAAGTATTTGCTTGTGAAACAGTTACAAAGGAGCCATTTTGTCTTCTCATGCTATATTGACCATTATTGTGTGACTGTTCTTTTTTGTTGTTGTTGTTTGTTCAGTTAAATGTCGACTTCCAATAATTTTTTTCCATTTTTTTTTTACATCTGTCCCTGAAGGGTTTTGTGAATGAAACACAAGCATCACATTGCTTTACATTTAGACAGTGACACATTCTCCTCTCCTGGGAGCTGGCTAGTTTGACCAGGATATTGAGCAGCTCCACTGGAGCAGATGGGATTAAGGGTGAAGGCTGTCCGCTAACTGCTGCTCTTATATATATATTTTCCATTCAGCACAGAGACGTTGAAATCATGCCATGTCATGCATAGATTCATAGCACTGAATAGAGTACAGTATGCTCTCACTCTTGCTCCCTCTATGAGCTAACCTCATCCAAATGTGATCATCCTTTATGTTATCGACTAAACTACTATCTGATGTTTATTAAGGGGTGTTTGTTCTTTAGAGCCAAATTCTTACCTTTTACACCCACTTACAAACCTAAGAATAAAAGCTACATATCTAAATTAATTGGATTACCTGAATGCTCTTGAGTTTAAGAGCTACAGTGGTCTCTTACATTTGGTAAGTGTAGATTTTGAAAGACTGCATGGGCTGTTGTGATAGGGTGTCACATGACTTATTTTTTAGGGATGCAAACAAAATTTAATCTAGCCTTTTTTTAATGTATTTATTTTTTGCAATCACCTGTCACTAATCTCGATTGTCTGCACTTGTCATTGTGGTACTACATACTCATAATTTAATTTCTCTGATGTACCTTGTGTACCAGCAGCAGAATTCCTCTCCTGCTCCACTTGACGGTTTTTCCCCATTTCAACCAGTCTTATTTCATCACTATTTATACTGTATGTTTATAGACTATTAATATATTAGATTACTGCTAATTGCTATTGAAGATATTAAAGATTTTATAGCTTTTCCTACCAAATCTAACAGCATAACTATCTGCTGTAAATGGGCAATTCCTTAAAGTGTCTATAGCCCCTTTCAGACATACATTGGAACCCTGAAATTATCTAGACATTATCCAGGGGAGCTGTATGTGAGAACGCAAATGTCTGAGTCAGTCGACCTGGACCTTAATCGGACCTTTACGCTGCCGGCTCCCTAGTACAACGTCCGAGTCAGCCGGAGTAAACCCATGTGGGAATACAGCAGCGTATAGTTTCAGAGTATTCACAGCGAGCTAGTGGGCGTGTTGATGACGTTCTTTCATGGGATTGGAACAAAACCAGAAAAATGCAAACACCCGATGGTGAAGAAAAACAATAATTCAAACTGAACGCAGCAACTGAGTTGTTGCCTGTTTAATTTTGGTCAACACGATCGAGAATTTCCAGTGCAAAGGACTGTAAAGGATCATGATCTGTCTGTCTGTCTGTCCAGCACTTTGGTCTTGAGCGGGGTTTCTCAGAAATGGCGTGCCAGATTTCAAATGAATTTGGCAATAATATTCCTACCACCCCTCAGGATGATTCATAATGTTTGCTAATTTGGTTTTGTTGTTTAGACGTTTCAGCTCACAATGCAGAATGCATGTATGTAGGAGGCTGTCACTGTTGGAAATACTGACGCATATTCTTTATTTTTCCCAAAATAGTGGACATCCTCCAGTTATGAAAAATTGAACATTTTTTTATGTTTGGAAAGAATGCTTCACTGACTCTTTATGCTGCTGCTGTACTTAAAAATTAATTTCCGTCTTTTTCTGCCTATCTCCCTCCATCTTTTTGTCTTCTCCAGCATCACTATCTTTGGCACCGGGGCCAAGTGGCTGGCTGTGCTGCAGGAGAGGAACCTGAAACCTGGTGAGCTGTCCTCACAGTCATGCACACAGCCATCCAGTAACACACATGGACGCACACAGATAAAAAAAAACAAACAAAAAAATAAAAAGCAGAACACCCCCCATTATCACACACAGACACTCACCTGCTGTCTGAGAATGCAACCTGGAACAATAAGGACAGATGGACTTGATAATGATTATAATAGTGATGCTGTTTGACTCTAAATGCCCTTTATGCCATTTACTGTGTGAGTCAACAGTTTGCCCTGTGATCTGGTGATTGACACTGAATCCAGTGGATAAAAAAATGCTGTTATGATAATTCATACGAGTCACGGATAGGTCCAGCTAATTGCTTTTAGTGTCATGGTTCTCCAGGGAGAGGGAACCAGGTTTCTGCACATAGCATTGTGCCAGTGCTTATTAGCCTTTCTGCTAACCTTCATACATGCTGTTTCCTCTTTGCTATTAGTGTGAAAAAAGATGTATGATTAGAAGTGCAAGCTACTATTATTGCTGCTTTGCTGTGCTCCTTTGCAAAGGTACATACTGGTTTGTAATGGAACAAAGCACAAACACAAGTTCTTAAGCTCCACTTATCAGAGTGGGGTGAATTCAGTCCATCAAGCAGTGCTTATTTTTTGCCTGGTTCACACTAATGGAAGTGCTTTCTTTTGGTGGAGAACCGATAAGGAAATAACAGTTAATTTAGCTATTACCAGTAGTAAATTAGCATTTGGTTTACATAATTGTATATCATACCTTTTTTGCTCTTTTGTTTCTTTCTGTTTCTTTATGCCTACCTCTTCATCCCCTCATCTAAACTCACACTGTGCTCCTGTTCTCCTCATCTTCATGTAAATGACCCATTATAACTAATAGTGTTTTCTGCTCATACTTAGCTTTGCTTACACTCTAATTCTGTTTTGCCACATTTCTACTCTCCCCACTTTACTTCACCTCACCTAATGTTAAATTACCACTGATGATTATTCCACAAACAGCTGCTGTGCAACAGAGTTCCCAGTGCGGTATTATAATCACCACAAATCTTTTTTTGGGGGGGCCTTTGTCTGTGTACAACATGTAAAATAGCTAAACACATTCCCCGTTTTGCGACTAAACAAGAAGGCATAAAAACAAAATTTAAAAATAATAAAAAGCTCTTTTTTTCTTCTGACTGTCTCTGTGCACCATCCCTGTCAGTCAGCCACCCTCCTGATCCAGTTGACACCGCGTGTCAGTTTGGATGTTTATTACAGAAAGAGGGACATGTGTATATGTGTGCAAGCATGCCTCCAGTAGGCTGTGGAGGGTAGGGGAGCGTCTTCACTGGCTGCCCCAGTGGAGAGGCCCTTTCCGTGGGCTGACATTTGGACTGGACACCTGGAGACGTAGTCGGGGGTAGCAAGAGTTGTCAGTGTGTGTGTGTGTGTGTGTGTGTGTGTGTGTGTGTGTGTGTGTTTGGATGCTGGAAGCTTATTAGTTTGCAGGGTGTTACTGCCTTGTGGTTTGGGCATGTGTGTGTGTGTGTGACCACACGAATCAATAGAGTGATGGCTAAAGGTGAGTGTGTGTGTGTGTGTGTTGTGTGTGTGTGTGTGTGTGTGTGTGTGTGTGTGTGGTAGTACATGTCCTTTTACATGGTGCCACTTCAGGGTGGCTAACTGCATTAACACAACGTGTAGGGGTGCATGAAACCACAGCTGTTCACAGGAATGTGATGAAACTGTGTATGGACTCTTAATTTTGCCAGAATGATTGCTGACTGTAGCTGGGTTACACTTGAAATGGTTGGATGTGGTAGCTACTTACAATCCTTTGGTTTCAGCAATACCAAAACAATGCCTTAGCTATACAGAACCTTTTTTGTATAAGAAAATATGCAAAACATCTTAATGAATCTGTGTTTGCTGTTGGGTTAATACTAACAGCTACACAATAATAAGGTTTTCTGAGTTCCTCATTTAGAGCACATAGTATCTGCTCAAATATTATGTAAACAACATTAAGAGTGTGACCATACATTCAATGCCAGTTGTTTGTACTTGATGATTTTCAATACTTGATGCTAAAGGACATTTTGATTGGTATTAAAAAATTAATTGGTTAAATCAAATACATTAACATAAAGGCCAATATAATGCTGTTTAATGAGAGATACTGCATAGTGTATACAACAGAAATCTTTGATTTATTATTTATCTGCCGCTTTATAATTAATTAATTTATTTTTATCTTTCTCTTCCCCAGCAGAAACACACAACCTTCAGTCTCTCCACACTATTCTGTCTACTGGATCTCCTCTCAAACCTCAGAGCTATGACTACGTCTACCGCTGCATCAAGAGCACTGTGCTGCTGGGCTCCATTTCAGGTGACTGACTGATACAGACCCTGCTGGCACACGTTTTGTCATTGTTGTTATGCCTTAGTTTCTTCTAAGGATGCGCATTGCAGTGGCTCTCTGTCAGTCCTGAAATGTTTAGCATTTAGCACAGTCTGAGTGACACATGGAGATATACGCACACACACACACACTAAGTAGCAGCTTGGAGCGTCACACCTGAACACTCATAGCATCAGTACACTTACACAAATACTGTGAATGACAGTTGTAATGGGTGTAGCATATAGCCTCAAATGCACACATGGATTGACACACACGGTCACAGTGACATCCAAGTGGAATGGCCCGACAGTGTCCGACTGTCAGCTTTGTGTGTCAGGGGCCTTAAAACATCAAGTCAGAGATCTGACCAGACACAAACAGAAAAAAAGACGGACAGTACAAGCAGATTGTTTCCTCTTGACTCTGCACAGACTTTGTCTTTTGTAAATGCTGATAACCTTTGTAGAAACTGAGTGGGTATAGTAGTTACCAAAGCTGTGTCTGATAACCCATCATTCCCCAATATCTACAAAATAAGCAGTTGCTAGTTCACAAACTCAGTAAACTGAGTCACTTATGAATCATCATTTCACATCATCGCTCAGAGGTAGTAGTGTTGCACAACTTGGCATTTTGTACTTAATATGGTAGTAGTGTAATGGATTGTAGTTAGTGCATGATCGACAACATACATCAAACCGGCAAACTTTACTTCTATGACTTCTGTTGTCATAGAAATAGTCAAACATACCATTACAATTATGAAACGGTCACAGTTTCATTACGTTTAGGCTCAGAAACTACCTGGGTAGGTTAATTTAACTATTTAGTATTTTAGGATTTATTTATTTATTTATTTACTTCCTTATTTATTTTTACCAGAAAAATGATTCAATGCCTGATCTGAACCAGACTGAGTTTTCTGATCCGTTCCACCCCTATAATATGGACACTGCACTTCCCCTTTAGTTTTTTGGGTATTATTTAGTACATAAATTTTATCATTAAAATTCTGACAGATGAAACAACATGAAGTACTTCAAATATAACACAATGCATAGAAAATGCAGATTGAGTTTGGCCATAGCCCAAGAGCTTTTGGCTGACAGTCAAAGGCCATCCTGTAACTAAACAGCTGCAGCTATTGATCCTGTTGAGGTGATGCTGAGCCTGTACTAGAGGATTATTGAAGGGGAACTTTGATTTCTCTGGTTCTTCTCTTTTACGTATCTTTCTTATTGCTAATAGTAACATGGAACAGACTAAATTAATCTTGAGATCTCTGTGTGATATCTCCAAAAAAAGTCTGACTGGGTAAAAAAGAAATAGGACAGACACTCGTATAGCTTTAATTTAGAAGATAAAACAAAGGTGAACAGTGCGATTGCTACACAAATGGCCTTTTGTAGTGATGTTGCTGCTTTCGCAGATTTCAGCAGTCAGTTTAGTGAGTACAGTGTTATCCTGTCTGATGGCAATGGTGGCTGACGTAAAATAAAGTCCAAGTTGTAATTATTTTATATTTCTATTTGTCATTTTAAAATTAGTTTTTGGAATTAAAACACTAGTTCTGTGTGTGCGTTCTTCAGGACAGCAGGTCCTGCCCCAGTCACAGTTTCTCCTTGTCGCCAAGGGCAACAGCAGGTTGCAACCCTGTTGGCTGCCAGCCGACCTAACCTTGACCCCCAATGTCAACATTCTGTTCGTGTGTGTGTGTGTGTGTGTGTGTGTGTGTGTATTTTCGCAGGATTTATCGCAGCATATGTTACTGACTGCTGGTCATGGTGATCATATGTGACTGGTTCTGATTTCACTCTGTGTCTTTGTGTAAACGTGTCTGCGAACTTGTACTTGAGTAAACATGATTATTTTTATACGGTTTATGAAACTTTTTTTTTTGAAGTTTCAGGATATATGTGTGTTTGTTATGCTGTCAGTAGGGATTTCAGACCTCTGTCGTCCCTCACTGGGGAATTTTAACACTTTCCCTGCTGGATTCCCTCTATCCTAATATACCTCCGTCTGACTGTCCATATGCCACTTCTCTACTCCCGTTTTGCTTTTTGAAAAGAAGGTTATTTTCCATTATGCAGTGTGGATGCATCTTTTATGTGTTTACATGTGCATCTGCACAATATTGAAAGTGTTTGTCTTCTTGTGACTTTCATTATGAGCGTTCATTTTATCACTTCTTTTTGAATGTGAATGCATGCAGAGGTTAGCTGGATGTGTTTTTGTTTCAGCTGGTTGCTTTGTATGACCCCAAACTGTGCCAGGGGATGTTCAAAGCACTCACATCTACACAAATGAAAGCGTACTTTCACCTACACACACAAATATATGCACACAAACTGAGGAGTTCAAAAAATCTTTTTCTTCACTGTTCAGAATAGTGAGTGCTGGTAGAAACAGATCAGTGTGACAAGTAACCCTCTTGTGTATACACACACTAAATGGATGTTGATGGAAGGCATCCTAAGAAAGCAGCCATGGATTTTAGCTTAAAATGTACTTATATGTATGTGTGTGTGTGTGTGTGTTTACAGGTATGAGAATGTGTTTACCCACCCATTAAAGTGACTGTAATAATAAAATAATCGTGTGCCTTCCCCCTGTAAGTCTGTGTGTTTAATCAGGCTAAGTTTCCACTTCCTCCTGGGAGCCAATTAAAATTCAATAAAGAACCTGGCAGGAAGAGAGACAGACAGAGAATGAGTGTAAAGAACAGAAATAAAAGAGAGAGAGATGGGAGGAGTTGTATAAAAGATCGGTTGCGAGGAAGCAAACAAGATGGATGGATGGAGTCTGTAATACAGGGAGGTAGAAATGGGACAATGGGAAGGGATATGAATAGAACATGTCAGAAATGGTAAATGATTGGAAGGTGGAAAGACAAATGGATGCTGCAGCGTAGAAAGGGAGGAAGAGACCAAGAGAGTGTGTGTGTCTTCGTGACAGTTTTAGGGATGTGTTGCGACAGATTAGAACTCCTATATAGGTCAGTACAGGTGGGGCAGGGGACTAACACTGCCAGTTTGTCTTCAGAAAGCTCATCAATGCCTCTGGATCAGTGGTCACTGTTGTTCTCTGGAGGGTTGTCATTATGAAAAGCCCCTTTTACATTATATCTTTATTTTTTCATCATGATTAATATAATGCAAGTGATTTTTTTGTGTGTGTGTGTATGTGAAGTCCTCACAGTCACTTCAAGTTAGGTGGTTCATTTCAGGCCATCAACCTACTAAATCACTCCCTCTGTGTGTCTGTTTATCTATCATCTCTCTTCCCAGGCGGCACTGATATAGTGTCATGTTTCATGGGCCAGAACCCAACAGTTCCAGTGTATCGGGGCGAGATCCAAACAAGAAACCTCGGCATGGCTGTGGAAGCCTGGAACCTTGACGGTAAGTGTGTGTTCGTGTTCAGAATGGGTGAATTGTTTAGAAATGGAATACTTCTGCTTTTTCTTACACCATAGCCACAAGCTCTCTAGCTATAAAGGGATTTATATTGCAATCTACATTGGCAGCAGGGTCAAAGTATCACGTAGAGGTTGTAAGGAAGCTGCAGGTTTGAGAGACTGTAAAAAATTCAGAAAACATTTAGTCACAAGCACATTTAAAAACTGCTGAGATGCCCTTGAGCAAACTCCCCATCTGCTTCTGGAGCTGCTTGATTAACAGAACAAGACTGTAGTTGCACTTGGTTGCTCCCATATGTGGATGTACCTGTATGTGTTGGCATGAAATTGAAGCTAGCCATGGCTGAAAAATTGCGAGTAATTCCTGAACTTTTCCTGGATAAAATCAGGTGTGAACTTTAGAGGAAACATTATTTTTCCAGGAACAATCCATAAAAAGGGTGATCTTGCTGTGAGTCTTCAAAGCCCTCTGTTTTTTCATTGATTTTAGTCCCTCATTCCCCAGCTCCCAATCCCTGCTGCAGGCTACACTGGTGTGTCTGCACCACCTCAAAGGAGAGTGGATTGAGAGATAATTTAGAGGTAGTTTTGTAGGAAAAGCTTGGAATTATTTTAGTTGGTCTCTAAGCCTATAACACCATCCTATGGGAGGAGGTGTGGGCTGTGTGAAACCAGACAACTAAAGTGAATCAGGTTCTGTGAGTGTGAGAAACATTACCAGGTAATTTTTTTTTGTTTGCTTTCATCTAAGGTTTATACTGTATTTGTGTTATTGGATGTGTACCCGTGTGTACATCTCATGCTGCTAACTTTATTTTTTGGCTCTGAGAAATTTGTGTGTGTGTGTGTGTGTGTGTGTGTGTGTGTGTGTGTGTGTGTGAGCAGGTAAGCCTGTATGGGGAGAGAGTGGGGAGCTGGTCTGCTTGAAGCCAATCCCCTGCCAGCCAACACACTTCTGGAATGATGAGAATGGGAGCAAATACCACAAAGCATACTTTTCTACATATCCTGGTAAATACACAAACATCATGTGTAAATACAAGTTTATTAAGAGGATACGTGTACTCAAAGAAATAAGAATAAAACAAACATAATGCAGTGCCATATAATAGCCCTGTAGTAAAATAGTCTTTGTTTCTATTACTGCATTGTAATATTATAGCATTTAACATTTTTATTATTGTTGTTATTGTTATTGTTTTCAGTTAAATACATTTTCTCAGCCGTTGTTTTTTTTTTCATTGCATATACTATTGTTTTGTTGCTTTCCATTTATTTTAATGTCTGTTTTTCCATTACCAAATATTTCTGCCAGATAAAGAATTGCATTAAACTTAAAGTCATTTTTTTTCTGTAGGTGTATGGGCCCACGGAGACTACTGTAAAATCAACCCAAAGACAGGAGGCATCGTCATGCTGGGCAGGAGGTCAGCTATTAATGAGGCTGAAGCTACTGAATCTTAAAAAAAACTTGTTTTATCACTGTTTTAACTGACTCATTTCTTTAGCGTACTAGTGGGCAGGTTTAAAAATAATATATGCAGCTTTCAGAAATGAAATGAGATGATAATTGTTCCAATTTTTTTTCAGTTTGAAGTGAATAGACAATTTAATTGGTATTTTTTCACCTGAGATTTGGCGCCACACTACATTGTTCAGAAAGCTTGATAACCTGTACTGACACGTTAAAGCATATGGCCAATCATGTTCTATATTAATAGTATTTTCAGCAATGAATTGGCTCTTCTCACAGTTAATGTCTGTCAGCTGTCAGTCCTGGATTAGCGTTTTCATCTGTGCGATAGATCTGTTGTTGTTCATAAACAATTAAAAACACATCGGGGAAACACACCACTGCACCGCGTTTTTTCATCACAAAACACCAGGTCCGACTATGTTGCCCCAAAGGCTCAGAGCAACCATAATTTCCTGAAGTTAGCATGAGTCAGAGTCAACTGCACATACGCGAGATCTTGCACAAGCTCTCAGCTTTGTCTACCTGCCACTAGCTCATCACACTGAGGTCTGGGGTTCGTTAATGAAAAAACACATCATCCAGTGCAGCGCTGTTTTTAATCGTGTTTGAACAACAACAGGACTCTATGGTAGAGAAGAACAAGTTGATGCAGGACACAAACACTGACATGCATTAACTGTGAGTAGAGGTAATTCATTGTCAGTTTTTAGTCTCTGTATGGGGAGTGTTGAAAATACTGTTAATGGCAGAGGACTGGCCTTATCCTTTAAGTTACTTTGTTTCACAGCATAAGATTGCTTTATGTTAGAAATCACTAAAAGAGGGTTAAACTGTTCCAGGGTTCATGGAGATAAAGTATGGAACTCTGCACATGTATAGAAACAAATAAATTGACAAACATATTTCTGTATTGTATATGAATAAAGAAAGAAATAATCGCCAGCTTACAGAAACTGAAATAGTTTACATATACTAGTGGATTGTTTCTCTTCACTGCAGCATGTTGTATGATGTGTGACAAGCTAGTTTCCCAGTGACAGATGCAAAACTTGTTTGTTTCTGCAGTGACGGTACATTGAACCCAAACGGAGTCCGATTTGGCAGCTCAGAGATTTACAACATTGGTGAGTCTTGTACATTACAGGTGGATGTGGGTGTAAGAAAGGGTAAAAGGAAATGGAACTATAGTTGTGAACTTAAACTGAGTCATGGGCTTTTTTATGTTGGCGGAAAAAATATTCTGGCCGTCCCTTCATTCATATTTTAAGTTTGATCACTTGTCATCATTTGTTCATCCAACAGAATGCAGGAAAAGCTCAGCATCTTCTTACTATTAACAAGAGGAATGCAGAATTTCTGTGCTTACTATAGTTTAAAGTAATGTGGTGAAACATTTGTACCTGTTCCCACCCGTGTCCTCACTCTTCCAACACTCTCATCTTTTTGTCTTTTCTCTTCTCTCCTTGCCTCCCTTCTGCTGTGCTCATTTGTTTTGTCTCCATGTCCTGTACCATGTCCTCTCCTTTCCTCTCCTCTCTCCAGTGGAGGCGTTTGAGGAAGTGTCAGACAGTCTTTGTGTTCCTCAGTACAGTGCTGACGGAGAAGAGCGAGTTATTTTGTTCTTAAAGATGGCGCCAGGTAAGGCCTTCTGTCCGGAGTTGGTGGCGAAGATTAAAGGAGCCATTAGGAAAGCTCTGTCTGCACGACATGTCCCTGCCCTGCTGCTGGAGACCAGGGACATTCCTGTAAGAGAAATATACATATCAGTTATAAGTGAATAAACCTGTCCAATTATCTTATTCTTACAATTGTAACATCCAGTTCTGGCTTGACTAATGGCCATTATCTCCATCCCCCTGCAGTACACCATCAGCGGTAAGAAGGTGGAGGTAGCTGTGAAGCAGGTGATTGCTGGCCGTGAGGTCGCTCAGAGAGGAGCTTTCTCCAACCCTGATTCACTGGACCTCTTCAAGAACATTCCTGAACTGCAAAATTATTAGGCATGTGGCTTCACGGAGCTGGAGAAAGGACCTACAAATCAGAACCTTAGTTAGAACTTAGTTTTTAAATTAACTTTGTTCCGATTTACAGGGATGAAGAAATGTGAAGTGCAAGGGGTGGTTTACCAAGGCACCCTGAGGTCTATACAGCACATACAAAAGTAAAAATTATACATATATATCAGGCAGATGAGAGACTTAGAAACAAGTGTACTGCTCTATAGGCTACTAATTTTAGTCTGTTGTGTTGTGAAGTAAGTGTTGAACTGGATTCAGCTTTGGATGTAATATAAGCAGCAGTGCTTGTGAATAAGTTCATGGTCTGAAGCCAGTGACAATGAAGAAGTGAAACTTAGCATTAAGCACTTTGCTTTGGTTTCACAGGTTGATCGCTATCAGCCAGTGAACAACTGTATCTTTCCGTCACCTGCTCAGCTCATACCACCTTAGTGAGGTGTGTGTTGCTTTATTCTTTGTATAAGTATTAATATACATACTGTATGATAAGAACCGCTTCATTTGGCCAATTTGTCTCCAGTACAGAACCGAGGCAGCCATCTGCTGCGCCAGCTCACACGCACACCGATGGTGGGTGCTGGCCCTTTAAAGCAACTTGGAGTTCAGTGTCTTGCCCAAGGGCACTCGAACCCCCTGAGCTAAATGTAATCCTTGCACCTATCAGCCTACCGGTATATATTTTTGGACTTTGACATTGCATTAACATAATAGTTTTACATTTTAAGATACAGTATATACCCTTACCTGTTAACCACAGCAGTCCATAGATTCCTAGAGTAGTTCATAACATGCCAGCAGTGGTAGTTTGAATAAATTTCACATAAGACAAAACTTAATGAGCTTTTGTTTCGTATGTTACATTCCCATATTATCTTAACCTTCATCTGTATTTTGGTCACATTCTCCCTCATTTTTAAACAAGTCAGCGTTGCACGTTTGTCATAACTCTCATGTGCCTGAATTATTTAGTCAAAGTTTCCTCATGGTGTGTTGTAAAACTTAAAGGCTCATTAATACTGCTGCAGATGAACTGTAATGGTTTTGGTCACTAGCAGCACCACTGAACAACATGGGTGTACAAAAACAAAAACACTAATCACTTCAGTTTCTTACTGGGAGAAGCAAAATACCCGACCAGAATGTGAACAGTGGAGAAATCAGATTTAAATGCTCTTTGGAGAAAAATGAAGCTGGAGGAAGCATACAGAGGTAGCATTTTACTTAGAGGGCTTTTTGTGATTTTTAAGGATTCTTGTTAAGTGCCTAACTCTAGAGTCTGAGTCGATTCTCAAGTCCTCAGTGTTTGAGTCTGGGTCACCAAAGAATAGTCAGTCGAGTCTGAGTTGAGTCACTGTTAACCAAGTTCGAGTCATCAAGGTCTACATTAAACCCAACTGGTGAATAATGCATCACCCACATTGAGGATATCAAGACCTGAGATTCCAAACGTTCTAACCGTGTACTGTCAGCATATTGCTTGTAGATATGATGCATAAAAACCATTTATAGAAAAGTGGGGTGTAGTCTTTGATGAAAGTGGTCTGAATACAGCATGGTGCTGGTGAACAGGTTTTAATATCAAGATGGGAAGTTAAATTATTATGGCTTATTGCAAAAAAAGGGAAAAAAAAATAAATCAGAGTCCTCGTCTCCATCTTCCAAGTCCAAATGCAGTGATTGTTCAAGTCTGAGTCCAAACCTGAGTCATCGGTGTTCAAGTCCACATCAAGTCAGGAAGTCAAACTCAAGTCCAAGTCCTACACTTGACTACTACACTGCTTGTTTCTTGGCTTTTAATTGAGATTTTGTCACTTGTTTCCATTATGAGTATTTTAAACATGTTTAAAGGTATGGATGTAAACAAATCAAGTGGACATATTTAATGTCATCTTTACTGCTTAGATTAAATCCTTTTCCTCATACCCTGTGGAGTTTTTGCCCACAAATAGTATTTTGGGACCAGTGTTTGGCTGAGTGGGTCCCTGTTTTAGTTGTATTTTGTAGCTGTGCACAAGGGTGGGTGTGGGTGATGGAATCCGTATTACTTCCAATGCTATCACACTAAATGACAGGTGTCAGTAATGTGCATAGAAAGGTAGCAATGCACCAACAAGATGCAAGGAAGAAAAGGAAAACTCGACTTTAAAGTAGCTTTAAAGTCTCAAAGGTGCTTATGTTCTCTTATGCAGACAGGGATCGTAATCTGATAACTCAAATGTAGTTGACAAAAATCAATTTATTTTCTTAAACTGGAACATTATGTGCTGATATACAGTTTATTCATTTGTTGCATCTTTATCTGAGCTGTACATTCACTGGCCACTTTATTAGGTACAGTACATCTGTGCACTTGTATGTAATTCAGTGCAACACTTCCACCTTAACATCTGTGTTTATGAAGCTTGAAATGTTCCATTTTCATTTGAACTTATATGTTAATTATACACATCATAAAGGCGTTGTTGTACTGGACTACATTATATTCAGAGATGTCTATATTTTTGTCCTCCCCAGCTACATACATGAGAGGATCAGAATATTAAGAACACCTCTGAATATAATGTTGTCCAGTACAACACCACCTTTAACTATGACGTCATTAGTAAACATATAACTGAATTTATACATTTATGACAATTTCACCAAAACCTGAAACATTTTCAGCTTCGTAAACACAGATGTTAAAGCAGAAGAGTTGCATTGAAGTGCATACAATTGTACAGGTGTACCTAATAAAGTGGCCACTGAGTGTCATTAAAGGCCAGTAACATACTATAACTGGCAGTGGTGCTACAGCTATAGCAGCTTGTGATGTTTTGAACTTCTGCTTTAGGGTGAAAAACAACCAGACAGAAAATAAATATTTGCGTTTTGTGTAACTGTCCGTGTGTATTTGCTGGGTGTAGAAACCGGTCATTTTGAGAAACATCTACTTTAGAAAAAAACTGGGCAGTTTTAAAACTCCCTGTAACCTTTATAAGCTGTAACCTTTGTAAACACTCAGACCTGTCACTAAGTTAAGCTTCAAAACATAACTGAGAGGAAAGCAGAAAAAGTGAGGCTTGGTTAGAGTCTGTTTCCTTAGTGTAAGAAGTCTTGCTAATCTAGTGTCCTAGTGTTTTATTTTCCATTTCTTTCTTCAGTTCAGCCATTTAAACATGAGAAAATGTTGTGTTGGCAGCCTGTCACTCTGTAGAAGAGATGGGAGGGCTGTTGAGCGGGGTGTGGTGAGTAGGAATGTTGACAAATGAAAAGCTTAAGTATTTACCAGATTCGCAAATAATAATCATCTGATGAACATGAATTGTAAATGCTATACAGGCCCCCGAAGAGGCTGTCTGTTGTTGTATGATTCATCCCAGTAGTCTTATAATAGTGCACATCACGAACCAGAAAAATAGCTTAACAGCTTGTACTCTCTGTATTTACAAGGGTTTGATGGTTAATTTACTCTCACTGCAATCAATTTAAAATTAAAATTGAAACTGCACAGACAAATGACAAGAGTGTTCATTCTTATTTTGTTATAAACTGACCTGTGGTGCTAAACGATTCCCTTTCATAATGGGAAAATTAAACCTTTAAAATGAGTGGATTGGATCATGATTCACCTGCAGGTGCGATGTGTCCTGATTTCTACACGCTATAATCGGTTCCCTCAGCATGGAAATCCATGCCCTTGTCTCAGTTTTTAATAGATAGCCACTTTTCACATAATTGTAAACACTTCACACAATTTTCAGTATGTAAACCTTGCAGAACTCTACACAAAAGTAGTCAGACAAATCATTAGTGCACTTTATGCTCATTTGGCAAACATCTGCATCAGTACAATAAACTCATCACCCTGGAACTCAATGAGCACACTTTTTTCCAAGTGTAAACGCAAAGCCACAAAATTGTGTAATGCTATTAACAGTTTTATTGGTGTGTCTGTGTTCTAGAACAATGGATCCTAACAGAAGATGGGAGACAGAGGGAGGTCAAGTGCACTATAAGTAATCAAGGGGTCCTCTATTGCCATGCCACGCCACTCCGGCTCCATACAGCAGGAGAAGCCGGTGCAACCAAAGCAATTGCAGAGTGTTATTATCACCTGGGGTAATGTTAGTTTCCATTGGGCTGCTCTGGTTTGCACTTGGTTCAGTGACCATCCCACATTCAAAAATAGTTTCTTACCTGCTTATTCCTCATTTCTACTTGCAATTGAGGATTTCTTTTCTCAGCAAGACAGTGGAAAGTATTGGAATGAAACCCTTAAACAAGGGAAAACCTTTTGGTAGAAGAGGCCTGTGGGTGTATATCTGTGCAAGCATGCATCATGTGAATATGCACATTTTCCAAATGTCATAATGTTCAGATCTACTACAATCCAGTACAGTAAATTCAGTGCTATGTTAATTTAGTTATTGATATTATGTACGAAAGCCTAAATATAATAGGGCTTTTCCAAACCACCCCCTAGAGTCCATTTAGAGGAACTGTAAATTTAAAAACTCATGCATTGGGCCCCATTCAGCTGTGACTGGAGTATGCATGGTTGTACAACAGAGTTGGAAGACTTGTAGTCCTTCCCCAAACATTTTACTGGGCTTCTAACACACTGGGCTTCACTAGTGGTTATAGGAACCCAAAATGTGTCAGTGGAATCCTTTCACTAGCATATCACACTCTATCTTCACTTCATGTTTTTCTGAGTTTGCTATCCATTCCTCATTTATCATTCAGTCTCAGAAGATGGAAGCTTTCCAACTTCCCAGATGTGTTGTGTTCTGATCTATTGTATCCTGCCTTCCATGTCCCCAATTATCTTGAGGTAACGGTGTGTTCTTTGAAGCCCACCCCCTCTTTCTCACAGGGAATTGAGGAGAAAAGAAGAGTTTTATAGGCACAGGGAGAACATGCAGACTCCACATACAAAGGTCCCAGTTGGCTACAAGATGTAAACCTAGAACCTTGTTGCTGTGAGGCAACAGTAGTAACCACTGCTCTACCCTGCATGTGCATCTTTTTAAAGTTTTTTTTGTAGCTTTTACATTAGTTGTAAGGCTTTTGAAAGTGATTCACGAATGAAATTAGTTTATTTCAGGATAAGTTCTGTCCCTTGACATCTGGCTGCCAGCTATTACTGTACATCGATGCAATTGCAAAACCTACAGCACAATTTCCTTTATATGCCCTGCAGTTGGGCCCTGCGATGGACCGGCGACCTGTCCAGGGTGTACCCCGCCTTTCACCCGATGCCGGCTGGGATTGGCTCCAGCCCCCCCGTGACCCCATTTGGGACTAAGCAGTATAGAAAATGAGATGAGATGCCCTGCAGTTGTCCTCAGTTTGCTGCCACTCATCATCACCTCCACCCCTACCTGTGCACCTTGTGTCAGTTCCCTCATTAACCCTTCAGTATACAGCCAGCTTCCTTTCCACCAGTTACCTGCCAGAATGTTTTTGCATCAGTATTGAAGCCTCTTTGGACATTCTCCCCTGCTTACCTTGTGTCTTTGCACATGCCCTTTTGTTTTCTGACAGCCTGCCTCTTACATAATCGCAGTAAGTTTGGCTTTACCCTTCCTGCCTGCCACTGAGTTATGCATTTGTGCCCTTTACCAGTTTTACTGAGTGGTTAAAATTTACAATATACAATTTCTTTGTCTTCTTCATCCCATTGAAACTGAAGAATTATGACAGCATATCCTAACTAGAATTCAGAAGCATCATTTTGACTGACCTGAAATTTCAGAAGCTTTTTATCAAGGCATCTGAACAGTAACCTTCTCTCAATGTCACCTGACAAGTGTCAAGTGTCGATTTAAGTACATGACATCAAGGTATCCCCATAACAAGCTCTCAAATGGACATACTGTCTGAAGAATCAGACTAACTTATGTTTGAATAGATTTCAAGAGTTTCTGTTCAGCTCTCTTAAGATGTGATGCAATTAGCCTGCATCACTTTTAGTTATTTTAGTTGCATGTGGCAGTGTTATGATTCTGTTTTTGAGGTTGTCCTTTGTTACTTTTAGTACCAGTTACTGTTGATGTTTGTGCAAATACCAATACTTGTGTTGTGACATAAAATAAGTCACATTTCTGCTTGCTTGCCTATATGAAAACCTTTCTGAGAACTGTAAAAATACAATAGACAAAAGATTTGACCTACTTGTCAAACTAAAACAACCTTCTGCAGTTTGTTGGAATAATGTCCCACAGGTTGACCTAAATATGCTGTTAATTTAATTAGAAAAACAATGAAACATATGATCTTTATACAGTTTTCATCAAGATTGTGTTTCCTTTAGTTGTCATGTAGAAGTTATATTCAAATAAGTGGGTTTAAATGTGCCCTTGTTGTTCACTGAAGGGATATTTTGGTTGAGACGAGCTGTTATGATTCTGCATGTTTAGACAAAAGAAGATGCGCCTTTTGCTGAAAAACAAAAGAGCACATGGAAAAAGCACCATCTGATGTACCTAAATTCTCCTCCATGTCTCCATCTGCTTTCATCAAACTGCCGCTGAGAGAGAGTCGACAGAAAGCATCAGTTGGAGACAGGTGAAGCAAGATGGCGCAGTTGAGAAGCAAGAAGGCACGCCATACGGGAATAAGGTAAAGGGAGAGGAATG